ATGGGGCTCTTCGGGCTCATAAGGGGTCGTAGAGTTCGTATGGATCATATGGTTCAGAGGGCCCAGCGGGGCTCATAAGGCTCATGGGGTTCATAGGCTCATGGTGTGCATAGGGCTCATCAAAACCATCGGGCTCAGAGGACTCATAGAGTCCATCGGGCTCATAGGGGTCATGTGGCTCATAGGGTTCACACGGCTCGTAGGGATCATGGGGCTCATGAGGCTTATAGGGCTCAGAAGGCTCACAGGGCTCATTGGTTGCATATGGCTCGTAGGGCTCAGAGGGCCGACAGGGGCTCATAGGGCTCGTAGGGCTCATAGGGGTCATGGGGTGCAAAGGGCTCATAAAGCTCATACGGCGATCGTGGGCCCGCCCCGGCGGCGTAGGGTGGCCCCGAGGGGCTGCCCAAACCAATTAGCCTGGCGAAAGACCCAACCAGATTCAGTTGTGAGTACCGCAATTGTGAATATCTTCTTCGGTGGAGCTCCATATGGGGCCACGAAACGCTGTACTGGGTGGGTGAAACGCAGGGAGCAAGGGCTGTGCTGGGTGGTGGCGGACGCATGCGGGCGGTGCCATTGGGACCTTCGGTGGAGCCCCCATATGGGGCCACGAAACGCTGTACTGGGTGGGTGAAACGCAGGGAGCAAGGGCTGTGCTGGGTGGTGGCGGACGCATGCGGGCGGTGCCACTGGGACCTTCGGTTGAGCCCCCTATGGGGCCACGAAACGCTGTACTGGGTGGGTGAAATGCAGGGAGCAAGGGCTGTGTTGGGTGGTGGCGGACGCATGCGGGCGGTGCCACTGGGACCTTCGGTGGAGCTCCCTATGGGGCCACGAAACGCTGTACTGGGTGGTGGCGGAGGAATGCGGGCGGTGCCACTTGGATCTTTGGTGGAGCCCCCTTTTTTTATGGGGCCACGAAACGCTGTACTGGGTGGATGAAACGCAGGGAGCAAGGGCTGTGGCGGACGCATGCGGGCGGTGCCATTGGGACCTTCGGTGGAGCCCCCATATGGGGCCACGAAACGTTGTATCGGGTGGGTGAAACGCAGGGAGCAAGGGCCGTGTTGGGTGGTGGCGGACGCATGCGGGCGGTGCCATTGGGACCTTCGGTGGAGCTCCCTATGGGGCCACGAAACGCTGTACTGGGTGGGTGAAACGCAGGGAGCAAGGGCTGTGCTGGGTGGTGGCGGACGCATGCGGGCGGTGCCACTGGGGGTTTCGGTGGAGCTCCCTATGGGACCACGACACGCTGTGCTGGGTGGGTGAGACGCATGGAAGAGGGAGGAGGGAGGAGGAGGAGAAGAGGAGAGGAACGCGGGGGCCGCATCTTCAAAACGAAGACCCAACATCACAGGATAGTTGGGGAAAAAAAAACTCATTCCACGTCGGGGGAGTGCCCGGGCCTGAATTTATGTACGGGGGAGTTCTTCATAAGAATGTTCGAGGATGAATATATATATATATATATACATTTATATATATGTGTGTATATATATATATATCGAAATATACCGACCTACCTACCTACCTACCTACCTACCGACCTACCTACCTACCTACCGACCGACCGACCGACCTACCTACTTACCTACCTACCTACCTACATGCATGCATGCATGCATACATACATACATACATACATACATACATACACATACATGCATACATGCACACATGCATGCATGCATGCATGCATGCATGCATGCATACATACATACATACATACATACATACATACATACATACATACATACATACATACATACGTCGATGATTACATGTATATGTATAAATATACACACGCACATGCAGCAAACATGACCAGGCCCATCCTGGGCCCAGGGTCGCTGCACATGCCTGCCTGGGCGAGCAAGGAGGGTGCATGCGCCGACCCTGGGCGCAGGATGGGCCTGGCCAGGATCGGTGCACAGGCAGACTTCAACTCCTCCTCCCCTTCCCCCTCCTCCTTTCCCTCCTCCTCCTCCTCATCCTCATCATCATCATCATCATCAGCAGCAGCAGCATCATCATCATCATTATCATCATCATCCCCCTCCTCCTCCTCCTCCTCCTCCTCCTCCTCCTCGTGCACCCGCACTCGATTCGGCAGATCACTCACACGTTTCGCGGCCCCATAGGGAGCTCCAATTAAGGACCAAATGCCAGCGCTCGCATGACGTACCCGCACCCGATTCGGCACACCCTTCACACGCTTCGTGGCCTCACAGGGTGCTCCAACGAAGGCGTTCGCATGGCGCACCCGCATCCGAATCGGCACATCACTCACACGTTTCGCGGCCGAATAGGGAGCTCCACCGGAGGCCCTGGTGGCTGCATGCGCATGGCCTACCCACATCTGATTCGGCACACCTTTCACACGTTTTGCGGCCCCAGAGGGAGCTCCACCGAAGGCCACACTGGCTGCGTTCGCATGGCGTGCCCGCCCCCGAATCAGCACACCTCTCGCACGCTTCGTGGTTCCATAGGGAGCTCCGCCGAAGGCCGCATTGGCTGCGTTCGCATGGCGGCACACCCCTCACACGTTTCGTGGCTCCATGGAGAGTTGCCCCTCTTTCGTCCCACCTGCCTTGCGGCACGCGCCATCGTCATCATCATCGTCATCATCGTCATTCATCGTCATCATCGTCATCGCCTCCGTAGCCATTTTGGCTCAAGCCGTTTTTATCGAGCTCCCGCAGCTCGGGCAGGCAGGCTTTCGGGGAGGCAGATCGCCTGGTGATTCCCGGACGGAGACAGCCAGCAGAGCCGTACGAAGATGGCGCCCGTGGAAGCCAAGTGGGATGTGAAGCAGATGGAGTCCGGAGACAAGGCGTGGTCGCAGCGGACTGGCCCAGAGAAGGTCCTTTTCGTGATCATCCAGGTGTTGAAGGTGGTGATGGCGGTGGGGCTTCTCTACATCTTCCTCATCTCCCTGAGCATGATGGGCAACGCGTTCAAGGTCATCGGAGGCCCCACCGCTGGGAAAGTCTTCCGGAACAACGCCATCTTCGACAACCCGTTCGCGGGCTGCTCCCTCGGGATCCTGGCGACGGTGCTAGTGCAGTCCTCGTCGACCAGTACCTCCATCATCATCACGATGACTGCGGCAGGCCTGATCGATCCCAAGAACGCCATTTACATGATCATGGGGGCGAACATCGGCACATCTGTCACCAATACAATCGTCAGCATGTCCCACATGGGCGACGTGGACCAGTACCGCCGGGCATTCGCGGGCGCAACGGTGCACGATTGCTTCAATCTGTTGACAGTGACCATCCTGCTCCCGCTCGAGTACTTCACTCACATGCTCTACCACATTGGCAGCGCCCTCGTCGAGTCCGCCGGCATCGAGGAGGACCAGGAAAAGCAGGAGAAGGTCGATTTCATCAAGAAGCTCACGAAGCCGGTCACCTCTCGCCTGATCTCTGTGGACAAGAAGCTGGTGACCAAGGTCGCGCAGGCGGACGACCAGGAGACGCTGGACGGCCTGCTGGCACAGTCGATCATCCAGAACAAGCGCACCCTTGACAACCATATGTTCCTGGACACCCCCCTGAGCGACGAGGGGGCTGGGTGGCTGCTGCTGGTCATCTCCCTGGTGATGCTGTCCACCACGCTTATCCTCCTGGTCAAGCTGCTGCAGACGATCTTCCGGGGCCGCGCCGCGATTTGGATGCAGGGGTTGCTGAACCTGGAGTTCAAGACGGTGCCCTTTGTGGCCGACTACATCCTCATCCTCTTCGGTGTGGGCATCACCATCCTCATGCAGAGCAGCAGCATAACAACCTCGACGCTGACGCCGCTCGTCGGAATCGGGCTCATCAAGCTCGACAAGATGTTCCCGTTCACCGTCGGCGCGAACGTGGGCACCACCGTCACGGGCATGCTGTCTGCGCTGGCGGGCTCGAACGTCGCGACCGGCATGACGGTGGCGTTTGCGCACCTGTTCTTCAACCTCATCGGAGCGCTCATCTGGTTCCCGATCCCTGCCATGCGCGCCGTGCCGCTCACCATGGCCAGGGCGCTGGGTAGCGTGGCCGCCGACCTGCGCTGGTTCCCTGTCGCCTACATCTTCGTCGTCTTCGGGATCATTCCGGGCCTGCTGCTGGGGCTGTCCCTGATGCATTGGGCGGCGCTCGTGTTCGTGGGCCTTCCGATCCTGCTCCTGCTGATCGCTGGCTCTTGCGTCTTCGGCATGCGCGCCTACCACCCGGAGCGGCTGCCTGCGGTGCTCAAGAAGGACTTCTCGTTCATGCCGCCCAGCATGAAGATGGCCACCGCGGACGGCGAGGGTCAGTCCGCCGCGGTGGAGGAGTCGAACATCGGCAGTACCGACATCGGTGGCGCGAGGCAGTGGTGGCTGGCGCCCTGTGCCTACGGGCTCGGCTGGTACTCGATCCTGGTAATGCTGATGGCGGTGCCGAACGCCAAGTGGTCCGACATGAAGTACGCGTCCTTCGACGCCCGGGACCACGTCGGCATTGGCGCCTGGAGCGCGTGCTCCGCCATGTTCGCGGAGGAGGTGGCCTGGGCTCCGAGCCCTCTCACGGGCGCGGACCTCGATGCGCACCTCGCGACGTGCATGGCTGACCTCAGCTCCGCCTGCGCCGACCAGAGCGACTTCTCCACCGTCCTGGGCGCCAACACCGTCTACGAGGAGTCGTGGCAGGGGTGCACGGACGCCACGACGGGGGACTGGCTGAGTGAGTGCGAGGCGCTGACTGGGTGCGGCGACCTGCACGCGACGCAGTGCGCCAACGTGTCCGCCGCGGTCTCCCGAACGTACACCATCGACTACAGCCAGTCTGGCACCAAGTGGGCCGCGGCCCCAGCGTCGTCCTGCAGCGCGGACGCCTTGCCGAAGGCCTGTTGCATCCCGCTCGGCGACCTCTGCACGGACGTCGGCGGCCTCACGGCCGCGGGCGGCCTGAGCGTGGCCGGGATCGTCTTCTCCTTTTGGGGATGGCGGCGATGCTCGCCTACCTCGCCAGGGGGGACAAGCGGGACATGCGCAAGGTACTCTGGGGCACCGCCGCCGCCTTCGGCGTGGCTTGGGTCCTTTTGCTCGCTGCGTGGACCATCGGCCTGAGCGCGCTGGGGCAGGAGACGACGTGCTGGGTCCAGGACGACCAGAACGACGGCATCGTGGCGGCCAAGGGCAAGCTCGGGGACATCGGGAACGGCGTCGGCTACGGGCTCGGCTACATCATCGGGGGCTGGGTCCTGCTCAACCCGATCCTCGCGATCACGGCCTCCGCATCGTGGCCCGTGAAGGCCGGCCCCCCGCAGAAGGAAGAGGCGAGCGAGGACGATGCGGCCACGGTCTCGACCATCTGAGCACGTGACGGCGCGGATGATCCGTCGTGCGATCCCGCCTCCACCAGCCCGCGCCTCTCTCTCTCTCTCTCTGGAGGAGTTGCCCTACTTCCAGCCCCCCATGTTCACGCCCTGCCTGCTGGGCCAGGGATTTTTGCACCCAGGATGTCCGCAGGATGTCTCAATAGATGCTGTCTTCTCAAGTCTCGAAATTTGTCGTAACACTCAGCGCCCTCGCGCTGCCCCCCCAGACACCGCAGGGGGGCGCTCGCGTGCCATTTTTGCACCCGCAGCGCGACAGCGTCGCTCGCAGCCGCCCAGGCTAGGGATGGAGGGGCTCCCCCGCATCTGCAGGCCACGAGCCCGGATCCTGGGGCGGAGCGGCGCTAGCACAATACGGCAATCGCTCGCCATTCGAGACAACGCAGTGACAATACGACAATACAATGCACAATACGACGGTCGCTTGTACAATACGACAATACAATGGCGCTGTCGTAGTGATGCGGGAGGCTTGGCCTGGTGCCGCACCTTCACACCGTGGCCGCCAAGCCATGCCTCTCCAGCGCAATTGTTTCAGTTTCGTGTTCGCGCTCGCCGTGCGCCCAAAGCGGCTGCGATTCGCAACGATCGAGCAAGTTAGGTATCACGGCCCCTGGAGTGCGCTTGTACAGTGATCTGCCAGGTCGCTGGCCTGCAGGAGGAGGACCAGCAGCTGCGCCCTACCCCCCCCTGGCGTTTCCGCCGCCGTCGTCGCGGTGCCGCCGCTTCGTCGCCGCCATCTCGTCACGTCGTCGCAGTTGCGGCCGCGGCCGCCGGCGTTGCCGCCGTCGGGTCGCGCGCCGCCGCCGGCATGCCGTGCCGCCGTGCTTGTCGCCACCGTTGTCCGCCGGCGCCCCATTCGTCGTCGTCGTCGTGCCCAGCCGGCAAGAGCCGCCCAGAACCGGACCCCATGCCTATCCCGGGTTGTTCTCCTACCAGCGCCTCGAGCTGGGTTTCTGGTCCATTGGAACGCGTATCTGTAATCCCCTGGCGATAACGGGCGTGACCAGGGGGGGAGCGAGGGAGCGGGGAGGGACGTGTCACGTCGCGATTCCCGCAGGGGCCGTGTGAGAATGCTGCAGAATGGCGAAGTCTCAGACGGCGCGCGAATCGTAATGTGACCAGGAGACGGGGAGGGGTGCGGACGGGGCTGGACAAGGGCGTTGTCACAAACTGCTGGCGACAATCCTGTGGTGTTGGGTCCTCGTCTTGAAATGGCAGCGCATCGCGTCCTTCAACCCTCCGCCTCTCCTCCCCCGGATCCTACCATCCCTGCCTCTGCCCCCTCCGCGTGCCCATTCCAGCACACCCCTCACATTCTTCATGGCCCCATGAGGGAGCCCCAACTAATGCCCAAATGCCAGCGTTCGAGTGGTGCACCCGCACTCGATTCGGCAGATCACTCACACGTTTCGCGGCCCCAGGGAGCCCCAACTAAGGGCCAAATGCCAGCGCTCGCATGGCGTACCCGCACCCGATTCGGCACACCCTTCACACGCTTCGTGGCTTCATAGGGAGCTCCAACGAAGGCGTTCGCATGGCGCACCCGCACCCGAATCGGCACATCACTCACACGTTTCGCAGCTGCATAGGGAGCTCCACCGGAGGCCCTTGTGGCTGCGTTCGCATGGCACGCCCTTCACACGTTTTGCGGCCCCAGGGGGAGCTCCACCGAAGGCCCCACTGGCTGCGTTCGCATGGCGTGCCCGCCCCCGAATCAGCGCACCTCTCGCACGCTTCGTGGCCCCATGGGGAGCTCCGCCGAAGGCCGCATTGGCTGTTCGCATGGCGGCACACCCCTCACACGTTTCGTGGCTCCATGGAGAGTTGCCCCTCTTTCGTCCCACCTGACTTGCGGCACGCACGCCATCGTCCATCGTCATCGTCATCATCGCCATTCATCGTCATCGTCATCATCGTCATCGCCTCCGTAGCCATTTTGGCTCAAGCCGTTTTTATCGAGCTCCCGCAGCTCGGGCAGGCAGGCTTTCGGGGAGGCAGATCGCCTGGTGACTCCCGGACGAAAACAGCCAGCAGAGCCGTACGAAGATGGCGGCCGTGGAAGCCAAGTGGGATGTGAAGCAGATGGAGTCCGGAGACAAGGCGTGGTCGCAGCGGACCGGCCCAGAGAAGGTCCTTTTCGTGATCATCCAGGTGTTGAAGGTGGTAATGGCGGTGGGGCTTCTCTACATCTTCCTCATCTCCCTGAGCATGATGGGCAACGCGTTCAAGGTCATCGGAGGCCCCACCGCTGGGAAAGTCTTCCGGAACAACGCCATCTTCGACAACCCGTTCGCGGGCTGCTCCCTCGGGATCCTGGCGACGGTGCTAGTGCAGTCCTCGTCGACCAGCACCTCCATCATCATCACGATGACTGCGGCAGGCCTGATCGATCCCAAGAACGCCATTTACATGATCATGGGGGCGAACATAGGCACATCTGTCACCAATACAATCGTCAGCATGTCCCACATGGGCGACGTGGACCAGTACCGCCGAGCGTTCGCGGGCGCAACGGTGCACGACTGCTTCAATCTTTTGACAGTGACCATCCTGCTCCCGCTCGAGTACTTCACTCACATGCTCTACCACATCGGCAGCGCCCTCGTCGAGTCCGCCGGCATCGAGGAGGACCAGGAAAAGCAGGAGAAGGTCGACTTCATCAAGAAGCTCACGAAGCCGGTCACCTCTCGCCTGATCTCTGTGGACAAGAAGCTGGTGACCAAGGTCGCACAGGCGGACGACCAGGAGACGCTGGACGGCCTGCTGGCACAGTCGATCATCCAGAACAAGCGTACCCTTGACAACCATATGTTCCTGGACACCCCCCTGAGCGACGAGGGGGCTGGATGGCTGCTGCTGGTCATCTCCCTGGTGATGCTGTCCACCACGCTTATCCTCCTTGTCAAGCTGCTGCAGACGATCTTCCGGGGCCGCGCCGCGATTTGGATGCAGGGGCTGCTGAACCTGGAGTTCAAGACGGTGCCTTTTGTGGCCGACTACATCCTCATTCTCTTCGGTGTGGGCATCACAATCCTCATGCAGAGCAGCAGCATAACAACCTCGACGCTGACGCCGCTCGTCGGAATCGGGCTCATCAAGCTCGACAAGATGTTCCCGTTCACCGTCGGCGCGAACGTGGGCACCACCGTCACTGGCATGCTGTCTGCGCTGGCGGGCTCGAACGTCGCGACCGGCATGACGGTGGCGTTTGCGCACCTGTTCTTCAACCTCATCGGAGCGCTCATCTGGTTCCCCGATCCCTTCATGCGCGCAGTGCCGCTCACCTGGCCAGGGCACTGGGGTAGCCGTGGCCGCCGACCTGCGCTGGTTCCCTGCGCCTACATCTTGGGCGTCGTCTTCTGGGATCATTCCCAGCCTGCTCCTGGGGCTGTCCCTGATGCACATGGCGGCGCTCTTGTTCTGGCTTCCTGTCCTTCTCTGCTGATCGCTGGCTCTTGGCGTCTTCGCATGCGAGCCTACCACCGCCCGAGCGCTGCCTGGCGGTCTCAAGAAAGGAACTTCTCGTTCATGAGCCGCCCAAGCATGAAGATGGCCACCGCGGACGGAGAGGGTCGTCCGCCGCTGTGGGGCGTCGAACACGGCAGTACCGCATCGGTGGCGCAGGCAGTGGTGGCTGGCGCCCTGTGCCTACGGGCTCGGCTGGTACTCGATCATGGTGCTGCTGATGGCGGTGCCGAACGCCAAGTGGTGCGACATGAAGTACGCGTCCTTCGACGCCCGAGACCACGTCGGCCTCGGCGCCTGGAGCGCGTGCTCCGCCATGTTTGCGGAGGAGGTGGGCTGGGCCCCGAGCCCCCTCACGGGCGAGGCCCTCGATGCGCACCTCGCGACGTGCATGGATGGCCTCAGCTCCGCCTGCGCCGACCAGAGCGGCTTCTCCACCGTCCTGGGCGCCAACACCGTCTACGAGGAGTCGTGGCAGGGGTGCGCGAGCGCCACGACGGCGGATTGGCTCAGCGAGTGCGAGGCGCTGACTGGGTGCGGCGACCTGCATGCGACGCAGTGCGCCAACGTGTCCGCCGCGGTCTCCCGACCGTACACCATCGCTACAGCCAGTCCTGGCACCAAGTTGGCCCGCGGCCCAGCGTCGTCCTGCAGGCGCTGGACGCCTTGCCGAAGGCCTGTTGCATCCCGCTCGGCGGCTCTGCAAGGACGTCGGCGGCTCACGGCCGCTGCGGCCTGGAGCGTGGGCCGGGTCGTCTTCTCCCTCCCCCATTTTTCTGGGGATGGCGGCGATGCTCGCCTACCTCGCCAGGGGGGACAAGCGGGACATGCGCAAGGTACTCTGGGGCACCGCCGCCGCCTTCGGCGTGGCTTGGGTCCTCTTGCTCGGTGCGTGGACCATCGGCCTGAGCGCGCTGGGGCAGGAGACGACGTGCTGGGTCCAGGACGACCAGAACGACGGCATCGTGGCGGCCAAGGGCAAGCTCGGGGACATCGGGAACGGCGTCGGCTACGGGCTCGGCTACATCATCGGGGGCTGGGTCCTGCTCAACCCGATCCTCGCGATCACGGCGCTCCGCATCGTGGCCGACGTGAAGGCCGGCCCCCCTCAGAAGGAAGAGGCGAGCGAGGACGATGCGGCCAAGGTCTCGACCATCTGAGCACGTGACGGCGCGGATGATCCGTCGTGCGATCCCGCCTCCACCAGCCCGCGCCTCTCTCTCTCTCTCTCTCCCTCTCTCTGGAGGAGTTGCCCTACTTCCAGCCCCCCATGTTCACGCCCTGCCTGCTGTGCCAGGGATTTTTGCACCCAGGATGTCCGCAGGATGTCTCAATAGATGCTGTCTTCTCAAGTCTCGAAATTTGTCGTAACACTCAGCGCCCTCGCGCTGCCCCCCAGACACCGCAGGGGGGCGCTCGCGTGCCATTTTTGCACCCGCAGCGCGACAGCGTCGCTCGCAGCCGCCCAGGCTAGGGATGGAGGGGCTCCCCCGCATCTGCAGGCCACGAGCCCGGATCCTGGGGCGGAGCGGCGCTTGCACAATACGGCAATCGCTCGCCATTCGAGACAATGCAGTGACAATACGACAATACAATGCACAATACGACGGTCGCTTGTACAATACGACAATACAATGGCGCTGTCGTAGTGATGCGGGAGGCTTGGCCTGGTGCCGCACCCTCACACCGTGGCCGCCAAGCCATGCCTCTCCAGCGCAAGTGTTTCAGTTTCGTGTTCGCGCTCGCCGTGCGCCCAAAGCGGCTGCGATTCGCAATGATCGAGCAAGTCAGGTATCGCGGCCCTTGGAGTGCGCTTGTACAGTGATCTGCCCTTCCAGGTCGCTGGCCCGCAGGAGGAGGAGCGGCAGCTGCGCCCCCCCTCCCCCCCGGCGTTTCCGCCGCCGTCGTCGCGGTGCTGCTGGTTCGTCGCCGCCGTCTCGTCGCGTCGTCGCAGTTGCGGTCGCGCGCCGCCGCCTGCCGTGCCGCCGTGCTTGTCGCCGCCGTTGTCCGCCGGCGCCCCATTCGTCGTCGTCGTCGCCGTCGTGCCCAGCCGGCAAGAGCCGCCTAGAACCGGACCCCATGCCCATCCCGGGGCGGTCTCCTGCCAGCGGCTCGAGCTGGATTTTCTGTCCACTGGAACGTGTATTTGTAACCCCTTGGCGATAACTGGCGTGACCAGGGGGGAGGGAGGGGGTGAGGGACGTGTCACGTCGCGATTCGCGCAGAGGCCGTGTGAAATTGCTGCAGAATAGCAAAGTCTCAGACGGCGCGCGAATCGTAATGTGACCAGGAGCGGGAGGAGGGGGGCAGGCGGGGCTGGTCTCGGGCGTTATCACAAACTATGCCAACAATCCTGTGGTGTTGGGTCCTCGTTGCGAAATGACGACGCACCGCGTCCTTCATTCCTCCGCCTCTCCTCTCCCAGTACACCCCTCACATTCTTCGTGGCCCCATGAGGGAGCCCCAAGTAAGGCCCAAATGCCAGCGTTCGCATGGTGTACCCGCACTCGATTCGGCTGATCACCCACACGTTTCGCGGACCCACAGAGAGCCCCAACTAAAGACCAAATGCCAGCGCTCGCAAGGCGTATCCGCACCCGATTCGGCACACCCTTCACACGCTTCGTGGCCTCATAGGGAGCTCCAACGAAGGCGTTCGCATGGCGCACCCGCACCCGAATCGGCACATCACTCACACGTTTCGCGGCCGCATAGGGAGCTCCACTGGAGGCCCTTGTGTCTGCGTTCGCATGGCTTACCCACATCTGTTTCGGCACACCCTTCACACGTTTTGCGGCCCCAGAGGGAGCTCCACCGAAGGCCCCCCCGAATCAGCACACCTCTCGCACGCTTCGTGGCCCCATAGGGGAGCTCCGCCGAAGGCCGCATTGGCTGCGTTCGCATGGCGGCACACCCCTCACACGTTTCGTGGCTCCATGGAGAGTTGCCCCTCTTTCGTCCCACCTGCCTTGCGGCACGCGCCATCGTCATCGTCATCGTCATCATCGTCACTCATCGTCATCATCGTCATCGCCTCCGTAGCCATTTTGGCTCAAGCCGTTTTTATCGAGCTCCCGCAGCTCGGGCAGGCAGGCCTTCGGGGAGGCAGATCGCCTGGTGACTCCCGGACGAAGAAGACAGCCAGCAGAGCCGTGCGAAGATGGCGGCCGTGGAAGCTAAGTGGGATGTGAAGCAGATGGAGTCTGGAGACAAGGCGTGGTCGCAGCGGACCGGCCCAGAGAAGGTTCTTTTCGTGATCATCCAGGTGTTGAAGGTGGTGATGGCGGTGGGGCTTCTTTACATCTTCCTCATCTCCCTGAGCATGATGGGCAACGCGTTCAAGGTCATCGGAGGCCCCACCGCTGGGAAAGTCTTCCGGAACAACGCCATCTTCGACAACCCGTTCGCGGGCTGCTCCCTCGGGATCCTGGCGACGGTGCTAGTGCAGTCCTCGTCGACCAGCACCTCCATCATCATCACGATGACTGCGGCAGGCCTGATCGATCCCAAGAACGCCATTTACATGATCATGGGGGCGAACATCGGCACATCTGTCACCAATACAATCGTCAGCATGTCCCACATGGGCGACGTGGACCAGTACCGCCGGGCGTTCGCGGGCGCAACGGTGCACGATTGCTTCAATCTGCTGACAGTGTCCATCTTGCTCCCGCTCGAGTACTTCACCCACATGCTCTATCACATCGGCAGCGCCCTTGTCGAGTCCGCCGGCATCGAGGAGGACCAGGAGGCGAAGGAGAAGGTCGACTTCATCAAGGTGCTCACGAAGCCGGTCACCTCTCGCCTGATCTCTGTGGACAAGAAGTTGGTGACCAAGGTCGCACAGGCGAGCGACCAGGACAAGCTGGACGACCTGCTGGCACAGTCGATCATCCAGAACAAGCGCGCCCAGGACAACCATATGTTCCTGGACACGCCCCTGAGTGACGAGGGGGCTGGGTGGCTGCTGCTGGTCATCTCCCTGGTGATGCTGTCCACCACGCTTATCCTCCTGGTCAAGCTGCTGCAGACGATCTTTCGGGGCCGCGCCGCGATTTGGATGCAGGGACTGCTGAATCTGGAGTTCAAGACGGTGCCCTTTGTGGCCGACTACATCCTTATCCTCTTCGGTGTGGGCATCACTATCCTCATGCAGAGCAGCAGCATAACCACCTCGACGCAGACGCCGCTCGTCGGAATCGGCCTGATCAAGCTTGACAAGATGTTCCCGTTCACCGTCGGCGCGAACGTGGGGCACCACGTCACGGGCATTGCTGTCTGCGCTGGCGGGCTCGAACTTCGCGACGCGCAGACGTGGCGGTTTGCGGCACCTGTTCTTCAACCTCATCGGAGCGCTCATTTGGTTCCCGATCCCTGCCATGCGCGCCGTGCCGCTCTCCATGGCCAGGGCATTGGGTAGCGTGGCCGCCGACCTGCGCTGGTTCCCTGTCGCCTACATCTTCGTCGTCTTCGGGATCATTCCCGGCCTGCTCCTGGGGCTGTCCCTGATCACTGGGCTGCGCCCGTGTTCGTGGGCCCTTCCGATCCTGCTCCTGCTGATCCGCTTGGGGTCTTGCGTCTTCGCATGCGCGCCTACCACCCGGAGCGGCTGCCTGCGGTGCTCAAGAAGGACTTCTCGTTCATGCCGCCCAGCATGAAGATGGCCACCGCGGACGGCGAGGGTCAGTCCGCCGCGGTGGAGGAGTCGATCATCGGCAGTACCGACCATCCTGGGCGCGAGGCAGTGGGCTGGCGCCTGTGCCTACGGGTCGGCTGGTACGCGATCCTTGTAATTCCTGATGGCGGTGCCGACGCCAGTGGTCCGACATGAAGTACCGTCCTTCGACGCCCGGGACCCACGTCGCATCGGCGCCTGGAGGCGCGTGCTCCGCCATGTTCCGAGGAGGTGGGCTGGGGGCTCCGAGGCCGGAGCCCTCTCCGGCGCGGCCTCCGATGGCGCACCCCTCACGACGTGCATGGCTTGAACTCAGCTCCGCCTGCGCCGACCAGAGCGACTTCTCCACCGTCCTGGGCGCCAACACCGTCTACGAGGAGTCGTGGCAGGGGTGCACGGACGCCACGACGGGAGACTGGCTGAGTGAGTGCGAGGCGCTGACTGGGTGCGGCGACCTGCACGCGACGCAGTGCGCCAACGTGTCCGCCGCGGTCTCCCGAACGTACACCATCGACTACAGCCAGTCTGGCACCAAGTGGGCCGCGGCCCCAGCGTCGTCCTGCTCGCGAACAGCCTATGCCGAGGCCTGTTGTCATCCCGCTCGCGACCTCCTGCCCGACGTCGGCCGGCCCCGCACGGCGCGGGCGCCTGATAGCGAACGGGGTCCAGGTCTCCTCATTCTGGGGGAGGGCGGCGATGCTCGCCTACCTTGCCAGGGGGACAGCGGGACATGCGCAAGGTACTCTGGGGCACCGCCGCCGCCTTCGGCGTGGCTTGGGTCCTCTTGCTCGGTGCGTGGACCATCGGCCTGAGCGCGCTGGGGCAGGAGACGACGTGCTGGGTCCAGGACGACCAGAACGACGGCATCGTGGCGGCCAAGGGCAAGCTCGGGGACATCGGGAACGGCGTCGGCTACGGGCTCGGCTACATCATCGGGGGCTGGGTCCTGCTCAACCCGATCCTCGCGATCACGGCGCTCCGCATCGTGGCCGACGTGAAGGCCGGCCCCCCGCAGAAGGAAGAGGCGAGCGAGGACGATGCGGCCAAGGTCTCGACCATCTGAGCACGTCACGGCGCGGATGATCCGTCGTGCGATCCCGCCTCCACCAGCCCGCGCCTCTCTCTCTCTCTCTCTCTCTCTCTCTGGAGGAGTTGCCCTACTTCCAGCCCCCCATGTTCACGCCCTGCCTGCTGTGCCAGGGATTTTTGCACCCAGGATGTCCGCAGGATGTCTCAATAGATGCTGTCTTCTCAAGTCTCGAAATTTGTCGTAACACTCACGCCCTCGCGCTGCCACCCCCATACACCGCAGGGGCGCTCGCTGCCATTTTGCACCCGCAGCGCGACATCGTCGCTCGCACCGCCCAGGCTAGGGATGTATGGGCTCCCCCCCGCATCTGCAGGCCACGAGCCCTGATACCTCTGGCGGAGAGGCGCTTGCCAAGCGCTGCAATCGCTCGCCATTCGGGAGACAAGCAGTGACACTACGACAATACAATGCACAATACACGGTCCCGCTTGTAAAATAACGAAACAATTACATGGCGCTGTCGTGTGGATGCGGGGCTTGGCCTGATGCCGCCCCTCACCCTATTAAACACCCCGCGCCGCCAAGCCATGCCTCTCCAGCGCAAGTGTTTCAGTTTCGTGTTCGCGTTCGCCGTGCGCCCAAAGCGGCTGCGATTCGCAACGATCGAGCAAGTTAGGTATCACGGCCCCTGGAGTGCGCTTGTACAGTGATCTGCCAGGTCGCTGGCCTGCAGGAGGAGGACCAGCAGCTGCGCCCCCCCCCCCTGGCGTTTCCGCCGCCGTCGTCGCGGTGCCGCCGCTTCGTCGCCGCCATCTCGTCACGTCGTCGCAGTTGCGGCCGCGGCCGCCGGCGTTGCCGCCGTCGGGTCGCGCGCCGCCGGCATGCCGTGCCGCCGTGCTTGTCGCCACCGTTGTCCGCCGGCGCCCCATTCGTCGTCGTCGTCGTGCCCAGCCCGCAAGAGCCGCCGAGAACCAGACCCCATGCCCATCCCGGGTTGTTCTCCTACCAGCGCCTCGAGCTGGGTTTCTGGTCCACTGGAACGCGTATCTGTAATCCCCTGGCGATAACGGGCGTGACCAGGGGGGGAGCGAGGGAGCGGGGAGGGACGTGTCACGTCGCGATTCGCGCAGGGGCCGTGTGAGAATGCTGCAGAATGGCGAAGTCTCAGACGGCGCGCGAATCGTAATGTGACCAGGAGGGGGGAGGGGTGCGGACGGGGCTGGACAGGGGCGTTGTCACAAACTGCTGCCAACAATCCTGTGGTGTTGGGTCCTCGTCTTGAAATGGCAGCGCATCGCGTCCTTCAACCCTCCGCCTCTCCTCCCCCGGATCCTACCATCCCTGCCTCTGCCCCCTCCGCGTGCCCATTCCAGCACACCCCTCACATTCTTCGTGGCCCCATGAGGGAGCCCCAACTAAGGCCCAAATGCCAGCGTTCGAGTGGTGCACCCGCACTCGATTCGGCAGATCACTCACACGCTTCGCGGCCCCAGGGAGCCCCAACTAAGGGCCAAATGCCAGCGCTCGCATGGCGTACCCGCACCCGATTCGGCACACCCTTCACACGCTTCGTGGCTTCATAGGGAGCTCCAACGAAGGCGTTCGCATGGCGCACCCGCACCCGAATCGGCACATCACTCACCCGGAGGCCCTTGTGGCTGCGTTCGCATGGCACGCCCTTCACACGTTTTGCGGCCCCAGGGGGAGCTCCACCGAAGGCCCCACTGGCTGCGTTCGCATGGCGTGCCCGCCCCCGAATCAGCGCACCGCTCGCACGCTTCGTGGCCCCATGGGGAGCTCCGCCGAAGGCCGCATTGGCTGTTCGCATGGCGGCACACCCCTCACACGTTTCGTGGCTCCATGGAGAGTTACCCCTCTTTCGTCCCACCTGCCTTTCGGCACGCGCCATCGTCATCGTCATCGTCATCATCGCCATTCATCGTCATCGTCATCGTCATCATCGTCATCGCCTCCGTAGCCATTTTGGCCCAAGCCGTTTTTATCGAGCTCCCGCAGCTCGGGCAGGCAGGCTTTCGGGGAGGCAGATCGCCCTGGTGACTCCCGGACGAAAACAGCCAGCAGAGCCGTACGAAGATGGCGGCCGTGGAAGCCAAGTGGGATGTGAAGCAGATGGAGTCTGGAGACAAGGCGTGGTCGCAGCGGACCGGCCCAGAGAAGGTCCTTTTCGTGATCATCCAGGTGTTGAAGGTGGTGATGGCGGTGGGGCTTCTCTACATCTTCCTCATCTCCCTGAGCATGATGGGCAACGCGTTCAAGGTCATCGGAGGCCCCACCGCTGGGAAAGTCTTCCGGAACAACGCCATCTTCGACAACCCGTTCGCGGGCTGCTCCCTCGGGATCCTAGCGACGGTGCTAGTGCAGTCCTCGTCGACCAGTACCTCCATCATCATCACGATGACTGCGGCAGGCCTGATCGATCCCAAGAACGCCATTTACATGATCATGGGGGCGAACATCGGCACATCTGTCACCAATACAATCGTCAGCATGTCCCACATGGGCGACGTGGACCAGTACCGCCGGGCGTTCGCGGGCGCAACGGTGCACGACTGCTTCAATCTGTTGACAGTGACCATCCTGCTCCCGCTCGAGTACTTCACTCACATGCTCTACCACATTGGCAGCGCCCTCGTCGAGTCCGCCGGCATCGAGGAGGACCAGGAAAAGCAGGAGAAGGTCGACTTCATCAAGAAGCTCACAAAGCCGGTCACCTCTCGCCTGATCTCTGTGGACAAGAAGTTGGTGACCAAGGTCGCGCAGGCGGACGACCAGGAGACGCTGGACGGCCTGCTGGCACAGTCGATCATCCAGAACAAGCGCACCCTTGACAACCATATGTTCCTGGACACCCCCCTGAGCGACGAGGGGGCTGGGTGGCTGCTGCTGGTCATCTCCCTGGTGATGCTGTCCACCACGCTTATCCTCCTGGTCAAGCTGCTGCAGACGATCTTCCGGGGCCGCGCCGCGATTTGGATGCAGGGGTTGCTGAACCTGGAGTTCAAGACGGTGCCCTTTGTGGCCGACTACATCCTCATCCTCTTCGGCGTGGGCATCACCATCCTCATGCAGAGCAGCAGCATAACAACCTCGACGCTGACGCCGCTCGTCGGAATCGGGCTCATCAAGCTCGACAAGATGTTCCCATTCACCGTCGGCGCGAACGTGGGCACCACCGTCACGGGCATGCTGTCTGCGCTGGCGGGCTCGAACGTCGCGACCGGCATGACGGTGGCGTTTGCGCACTTGTTCTTCAACCTCATCGGAGCGCTCATCTGGTTCCCGATCCCTGCCATGCGCGCCGTGCCGCTCACCATGGCCAGGGCGCTGGGTAGCGTGGCCGCCGACCTGCGCTGGTTCCCTGTCGCCTACATCTTCGTCGTCTTCGGGATCATTCCGGGCCTGCTGCTGGGGCTGTCCTTGATGCATTGGGCGGCGCTCGTGTTCGTGGGCCTTCCGATCCTGCTCCTGCTGATCGCTGGCTCTTGCGTCTTCGGCATGCGCGCCTACCACCCGGAGCGGCTGCCTGCGGTGCTCAAGAAGGACTTCTCGTTCATGCCGCCCAGCATTGGCAGATGGCCACGCGGCAGGCGGGGAGGGTCCGGTCCGCCGCGGTGAGGCGTCGAAACATCGGCCTAGTTCCGACATCGGCGGCGCGAGGCAGTGGTGGCTGGCGCCCTGTGCTACGGGCTCGGCTGGTACTCGATCCTTGATAATGCTGATGGCTGGTGATGAAACGCCCAAGTGGTGCGACATGACGTACGCGTCCTTCGACGCCCGGGACCAAGTCGGCATCGGGCGCCTGGAGCGCGTGCTCGCCATGTTCGCGGAGGAGGTGGGGCTGGGCTCCGAGCCCCTCTCACGGCGCAGACCTCGATGCGCACCCTCGCGGAACGTGCCAGGCTTACCTCAGCTACCGCCTGCGCCGACTCCGAGCCGACTTCTCCACCGTCCTGGGCGCCAACACCGTCTACGAGGAGTCGTGGCAGGGGTGCACGGACGCCACGACGGGGGACTGGCTGAGTGAGTGCGAGGCGCTGACTGGGTGCGGCGACCTGCACGCGACGCAGTGCGCCAACGTGTCCGCCGCGGTCTCCCGAACGTACACCATCGACTACAGCCAGTCTGGCACCAAGTGGGCCGCGGCCCCAGCGTCGTCCTGCAGCGCGGACGCCTTGCCGAAGGCCTGTTGCATCCCGCTCGGCGACCTCTGCACGGACGTCGGCGGCCTCACGGCCGCGGGCGGCCTGAGCGTGGCCGGGATCGTCTTCTCCATTTTGGGGATGGCGGCGATGCTCGCCTACCTCGCCAGGGGGGACAAGCGGGACATGCGCAAGGTACTCTGGGGCACCGCCGCCGCCTTCGGCGTGGCTTGGGTCCTCTTGCTCGGTGCGTGGACCATCGGCCTGAGCGCGCTGGGGCAGGAGACGACGTGCTGGGTCCAGGACGACCAGAACGACGGCATCGTGGCGGCCAAGGGCAAGCTCGGGGACATCGGGAACGGCGTCGGCTACGGGCTCGGCTACATCATCGGGGGCTGGGTCCTGCTCAACCCGATCCTCGCGATCACGGCGCTCCGCATCGTGGCCGACGTGAAGGCCGGCCCCCCGCAGAAGGAAGAGGCGAGCGAGGACGATGCGGCCAAGGTCTCGACCATCAGAGCACGTGACGGCGCGGATGATCCGTCGTGCGATCCCGCCTCCACCAGCCCGCGCCTCTCTCTCTCTCTCTCTCTCTCTTTCTCTCTGGAGCAGTTGCCCTACTTCCAGCCCCACATGTTCACGCCCTGCCTGCTGTGCCAGGGATTTTTGCACCCAGGATGTCCGCAGGATGTCTCAATAGATGCTGTCTTCTCAAGTCTCGAAATTTGTCGTAACACTCAGCGCCCTCGCGCTGCCCCCCCGGACACCTCGGGGGGGCGCTCGCGTGCCATTTTTGCACCCGCAGCGCGACAGCGTCGCTCGCAGCCGCCCAGGCTAGGGATGGAGGGGCTCCCCCGCATCTGCAGGCCACGAGCCCAGATCCTGGGGCGGAGCGGCGCTTGCACAATACGGCAATCGCTCGCCATTCGAGACAATGCAGTGACAATACGACAATACAATGCACAATACGACGGTCGCTTGTACAATACGACGATACAGTGGCGCCGTCGTAATGATGCGGGAGGCTTGGCCTGGTGCCGCACCCTCACACCGTGGCCGCCAAGCCATGCCTCTCCAGCGCAAGTGCTTCAGTTTCGTGTTCGCGATCGCCGTGCGCCCAAAGCGGCTGCGATTCGCAACGATTGAGCAAGTTTGGTATCACGGCCCCTGGAGTGCGCTTGTACATTGATCTGCCAGGTCGCTGGCCTGCAGGAGGAGGACCAGCAGCTGCGCCCCCCCCCGGCGTTTCCGCCTCCGTCGTCATGGTGCCGCCGCTTCGTCGCCGCCGTCTCGTCGCGTCGTCGCAGTTGCGGCCGCGGCCGCCGGCGTTGCCGCCGTCGGGTCGCGCGCCACCGCCATGAAGTGCCGCCGTGCTTGTCGCCACCGTTGTCCGCCGGCGCCCCATTCGTCGTCGTCGTCGCCGTGCCCAGCCGGCAAGAGCCGCCCAGAACCAGACCCCATGCCCATCCCGGGGTGTTCTCCTGCCAGCGGCTCGAGCTGGGTTTTTGGTCCACTGGAACGCGTATGTGTAATCCCCTGGCGATAACAGGCGTGACCAGGGGGGGAGCGAGGGAGGGGGGAGGAGCGTGTCACGTCGCGATTCGCGCAGGGGCCGTGTGAGAATGCTGCAGAATGGCGAAGTCTCAGACGGCGCACGAATCGTAATGTGACCAGGAAGGGGGGAGGGGTGCAGGCGGGGCTGTTCAAGGGCGTTATCACAAACTGCTGCCAACAATCCTGTGGTGTTGGATCCTCGTCTTGAAATGACAGCGCACCGCGTCCTTCAACCCTCCGCCTCTCCTCCCCCGGATCCTACCATCCCTGCCTCTGCCCCCTCCGCGTGCCCATTCCAGCACACCCCTCACATTCTTCGTGGCCCCATGAGGGAGCCCCAACTAAGGCCCAAATGCCAGCGTTCGAGTGGTGCACCCGCACTCGATTCGGCAGATCACTCACACGCTTCGCGGCCCCAGGGAGCCCCAACTAAGGGCCAAATGCCAGCGCTCGCATGGCGTACCCGCACCCGATTCGGCACACCCTTCACACGCTTCGTGGCTTCATAGGGAGCTCCAACGAAGGCGTTCGCATGGCGCACCCGCACCCGAATCGGCACATCACTCACCCGGAGGCCCTTGTGGCTGCGTTCGCATGGCACGCCCTTCAACGTTTTGCGGCCAGGGGGTGCTCCACCGAAGGCCCATGTCTGCGTTGCATGGAGTGCCCGCACCGAATCAGCGCACGCTCGCACGCTTCGTGGGGCCCATGGGGAGCTCCGCCGAGGCCGCCAGTGGCTCGGTCGCATGGCGGCAAACCCTCACAGTTTCGTGGCTCATGGGGAGTTAACCCTCTTTTGTCCACCTGCTTGCGGCACTTCGCCATTCGTCTCGTCATCGTCATCATCGCCATTCATCCCCCCCTTCCCATCGTCGTCATCGTCTATCATCGTCATCGCCGCCGTAAAGCCGTTTTGGCCCCAAGCCGTTTTTATCGGAGCGCCCGCAGCTCGGGCGGCAGGCAAAGGCTTTCGGGGAGGCAGATCGCCTGGTGACTCCCGGACGAAAACAGCCAGCAGAGCCGTACGAAGATGGCGGCCGTGGAAGCCAAGTGGGATGTGAAGCAGATGGAGTCCGGAGACAAGGCGTGGTCGCAGCGGACCGGCCCAGAGAAGGTCCTTTTCGTGATTATCCAGGTGTTGAAGGTGGTGATGGCGGTGGGGCTTCTCTACATCTTCCTCATCTCCCTGAGCATGATGGGCAACGCGTTCAAGGTCATCGGAGGCCCCACCGCTGGGAAAGTCTTCCGGAACAACGCCATCTTCGACAACCCGTTCGCGGGCTGCTCCCTCGGGATCCTAGCGACGGTGCTAGTGCAGTCCTCGTCGACCAGTACCTCCATCATCATCACGATGACTGCGGCAGGCCTGATCGATCCCAAGAACGCCATTTACATGATCATGGGGGCGAACATCGGCACATCTGTCACCAATACAATCGTCAGCATGTCCCACATGGGCGACGTTGACCAGTACCGCCGGGCGTTCGCGGGCGCAACGGTGCACGACTGCTTCAATCTGTTGACAGTGACCATCCTGCTCCCGCTCGAATACTTCACTCACATGCTCTACCACATCGGCAGCGCCCTCGTCGAGTCCGCCGGCATCGAGGAGGACCAGGAAAAGCAGGAGAAGGTCGACTTCATCAAGAAGCTCACGAAGCCGGTCACCTCTCGCCTGATCTCTGTGGACAAGAAGTTGGTTACTAAGGTCGCACAGGCAGACGACCAGGAGACGCTGGACGGCCTGCTGGCACAGTCGATCATCCAGAACAAGCGTACCCTTGACAACCATATGTTCCTGGACACCCCCCTGAGCGACGAGGGGGCTGGGTGGCTGCTGCTGGTCATCTCCCTGGTTTTGCTGTCCACCACGCTTATCCTCCTGGTCAAGCTGCTGCAAACGATCTTCCGAGGCCGCGCCGCGATTTGGATGCAGGGGCTGCTGAACCTGGAGTTCAAGACGGTGCCCTTTGTGGCCGACTACATCCTCATCCTCTTCGGCGTGGGCATCACCATCCTCATGCAGAGCAGCAGCATAACAACCTCGACGCTGACGCCGCTCGTCGGAATCGGGCTCATCAAGTCGTCATATGTGCCCATTCACGTCGGCGCGAAACGTGGGCACCACCGTCACGGGCAATGCTGTTGCGCTTGGCGGGCTCGAACGTCGCGACGGGCTGACGGTGGCGTTTTTGCGCACTTGTTCTTCAAACTCATCGGACGCTCATCCTGGTTCCGATCCTGCCTTGCGCGCCGTGCCGCTCACATGGCCAGGGCGCTGGGTAGCGTTGCCGCCGACCTGCGCTGGTTCCCTGTCGCCTACATTCCTTCGTCGTCTTCGGATATTCCGGGCTGCTGCTGAGGTGTCCTTGATGCCATTGGGGAGGGCGGCGCTCGTGTTCGTGGGCCTTCCGATCCTGCTCCTGCTGATCGCTGGCTCTTGCGTCTTCGGCATGCGCGCCTACCACCCGGAGCGGCTGCCGGCGGTGCTCAAGAAGGACTTCTCGTTCATGCCGCCCAGCATGAAGATGGCCACCGCGGACGGCGAGGGTGCAGTCCGCGCGGTTGGAGGAGAGTCGAACATCGGCAGTTCGACATCGGCGGCGGCGTGGCAGTGGTGGGCTGGCGCCCTGTTGCCTACTAGGGCTCGGCTGGTACTCGATCCTGGTATATGCTGATGGCGGTGCCGTACGCCAAGTGGTCGACATGAAGTAAGCGTCCTTCGACGCCCGGGACCACGTCGGCATCGGCGCCTGGAGCGCGTGCTCCGCCATGTTCGCGGAGGAGGTGGGCTGGGCTCCGAGCCCTCTCACGGGCGCGGACCTCGATGCGCACCTCGCGACGTGCATGGCTGACCTCAGCTCCGCCTGCGCCGACCAGAGCGACTTCTCCACCGTCCTGGGCGCCAACACCGTCTACGAGGAGTCGTGGCAGGGGTGCACGGACGCCACGACGGGAGACTGGCTGAGTGAGTGCGAGGCGCTGACTGGGTGCGGCGACCTGCACGCGACGCAGTGCGCCAACGTGTCCGCCGCGGTCTCCCGAACGTACACCATCGACTACAGCCAGTCTGGCACCAAGTGGGCCGCGGCCCCAGCGTTCGTCATGCAGCGCGGAAGCTTGCCGAAGGCCGGTTGCATCACGCTCGGCGACCTCTGCAGGACGTCGGCGGGCCTCACGGCCGCGGGCGCTTACTTACCTCTGAGCGTGGAGGGATTCGTCTTCTCCTTTTTGAGGGTTCAGGGATGGCGGCGATGTTTGTTATTTGTCTTTTTTTTTTTTGTTCTCTTTCTTCTTTTTCTTTCTTTAATCTTTTTTTTTTTTTTTATCTTTTCTCTTTTTTTTTCTTTTTTCGCCTACACTCAGCCAGGTGGGACATGCTGGGACATGGCAAAAAAATAGGTACTCTGGGGCACCGCCGCCGCCTTCGGCGTGGATTGGGTCCTCTTGCTCGCTGCGTGGACCATCGGCCTGAGCGCGCTGGGGCAGGAGACGACGTGCTGGGTCCAGGACGACCAGAACGACGGCATCGTGGCGGCCAAGGGCAAGCTCGGGGACATCGGGAACGGCGTCGGCTACGGGCTCGGCTACATCATCTGGGGCTGGGTCCTGCTCAACCCGCCGAACCGATCTCGGCGATCACGAGGCCGGGCGCTCCGCCATCGTGGCCGACGTGGATGGCCGGCCCCCGCAGTAAGGAAGAGTGCGAGCGGTGGGACGATGCGGCCAAGGGTATCGACCATCGAGCAAGTGGGACGGCGCGCGGATGATCCGGTCGTGCGATCCGCCTCCACGTCGCACCAGCCCGCGCCTCTCTCTCTCTCTCTCTCTCTCTCTCTTTCTCTCTTTTCTCTGGAGCAGTTGCCCTACTTCCAGCCCCCACAGTTCACGCCATGCCTGCTGTGCCAGGGATTTTTGAACCCGGGATGTCCGCGGATCCTGTCAGTGAACCCAATTGGCTGGCGCGTCTTCGAAATTGTCGTAAACACTCTGCGCCCTCGCGCTGCCCCCCCGGACACCTCGGGGGGGCGCTCGCGTGCCATTTTTGCACCCGCAGCGCGACAGCGTCGCTCGCAGCCGCCCAGGCTAGGGATGGAGGGGCTCCCCCGCATCTGCAGGCCACGAGCCCAGATCCTGGGGCGGAGCGGCGCTTGCACAATACGGCAATCGCTCGCCATTCGAGACAACTCAGTGACAATACGACAATACAATGCACAATACGACGGTCGCTTGTACAATACGACAATACAATGGCGCTGTCGTAGTGATGCGGGAGGCTTGGCCTGGTGCCGCACCTTCACACCGTGGCCGCCAAGCCATGCCTCTCCAGCGCAATTGTTTCAGTTTCGTGTTCGCGCTCGCCGTGCGCCCAAAGCGGCTGCGATTCGCAATGATCGAGCAAGTCAGGTATCGCGGCCCTTGGAGTGCGCTTGTACAGTGATCTGCCCTTCCAGGTCGCTGGCCCGCAGGAGGAGGAGCGGCAGCTGCGCCCCCCCTCCCCCCCGGCGTTTCCGCCGCCGTCGTCGCGGTGCCGCTGGTTCGTCGCCGCCGTCTCGTCGCGTCGTCGCAGTTGCGGTCGCGCGCCGCCGCTTGCCGTGCCGCCGTGCTTGTCGCCGCCGTTGTCCGCCGGCGCCCCATTCGTCGTCGTCGTCGCCGTCGTGCCCAGCCGGCAAGAGCCGCCTAGAACCGGACCCCATGCCCATCCCGGGGCGTTCTCCTGCCAGCGGCTCGAGCTGGATTTTCTGTCCATTGGAACGTGTATTTGTAACCCCTTGGCGATAACTGGCGTGACCAGGGGGGAGGGAGGGGGTGAGGGACGCGTCACGTCGCGATTCGCGCAGAGGCCGTGTGAAATTGCTGCAGAATAGCAAAGTCTCAGACGGCGCGCGAATCGTAATGTGACCAGGAGCGGGAGGAGGGGGGCAGGCGGGGCTGGTCTCGGGCGTTATCACAAACTATGCCAACAATCCTGTGGTGTTGGGTCCTCGTTGCGAAATGACGACGCACCGCGTCCTTCATTCCTCCGCCTCTCCTCTCCCAGTACACCCCTCACATTCTTCGTGGCCCCATGAGGGAGCCCCAAGTAAGGCCCAAATGCCAGCGTTCGCATGGTGTACCCGCACTCGATTCGGCTGAGCACCCACACGTTTCGCGGACCCACAGAGAGCCCCAACTAAAGACCAAATGCCAGCGCTCGCAAGGCGTATCCGCACCCGATTCGGCACACCCTTCACACGCTTCGTGGCCTCATAGGGAGCTCCAACGAAGGCGTTCGCATGGCGCACCCGCACCCGAATCGGCACATCACTCACACGTTTCGCGGCCGCATAGGGAGCTCCACTGGAGGCCCTTGTGGCTGCGTTCGCATGGCTTACCCACATCTGTTTCGGCACACCCTTCACACGCTTTGCGGCCCCAGAGGGAGCTCCACCGAAGGCCCCCCCGAATCAGCACACCTCTCGCACGCTTCGTGGCCCCATAGGGGAGCTCCGCCGAAGGCCGCATTGGCTGCGTTCGCATGGCGGCACACCCCTCACACGTTTCGTGGCTCCATGGAGAGTTGCCCCTCTTTCGTCCCACCTGCCTTGCGGCACGCGCCATCGTCATCGTCATCGTCATCATCGTCACTCATCGTCATCATCGTCATCGCCTCCGTAGCCATTTTGGCTCAAGCCGTTTTTATCGAGCTCCCGCAGCTCGGGCAGGCAGGCCTTCGGGGAGGCAGATCGCCTGGTGACTCCCGGACGAAGAAGACAGCCAGCAGAGCCGTGCGAAGATGGCGGCCGTGGAAGCTAAGTGGGATGTGAAGCAGATGGAGTCTGGAGACAAGGCGTGGTCGCAGCGGACCGGCCCAGAGAAGGTTCTTTTCGTGATCATCCAGGTGTTGAAGGTGGTGATGGCGGTGGGGCTTCTTTACATCTTCCTCATCTCCCTGAGCATGATGGGCAACGCGTTCAAGGTCATCGGAGGCCCCACCGCTGGGAAAGTCTTCCGGAACAACGCCATCTTCGACAACCCGTTCGCGGGCTGCTCCCTCGGGATCCTAGCGACGGTGCTAGTGCAGTCCTCGTCGACCAGCACCTCCATCATCATCACGATGACTGCGGCAGGCCTGATCGATCCCAAGAACGCCATTTACATGATCATGGGGGCGAACATCGGCACATCTGTCACCAATACAAT